AGAGGAGCTAAGTATAAATATTTTGATATATTTTAGGATCAATAGTACTTTAAAGTTATCAGACTTGCGGCTGGGTTTGTGCCATAAAGCCGTTCCGCGTCGTAATGTCTGTTGTAAAGTATGCCACAATGTTGTAAACAGCTGCGCCGCTTGAGATAGAACTGGCGCCTATCCTGAGTGCCTCAGTGCTTCTGGGACGAGGCCCTCCACGAGTGCCCACTCTCATTAACTATAATGTCTTCTGTTCAAAATGACGGAGCGACACGTCCGCCTCCGGTGTGCCCCAGGCTTAAGAGATAGCGTAAGAAGCTCGGTCATCTGGGAGGAGCTCAGAGTAGACCGGCTGCTCCTCCCCGTCGAGAGGAGCCAGTTGAGGTGGCTCGGGTATATGGTTAGGATGCCTCCTAGACGCCTCCCTGGTGAGGTTTCCTGGGCACGTCCAACTGGGAGGAGACCCAAGGGAAGACCCAGGACATGATGGAGGGACTACGTCTCTTGGCTTGCCAGGGAATGCCTTGGGATTCCCCTGGAGTGGCCGGGGAGAGGGAAGTCTGGACCTGTCGGCTTAGGCTGCTGGCCCCGCGATCCGACTCTGGATAAGCGGTTGAAAATGGATGACTAGAGAAAAAAGTTAAAAAATGTGATTGAAAACAATGTAAGGAAAGGGCAAATAAATAGGTTAGAGGGAAATCAGTGGATCCCGGGAAAGTCGGGAGTTGGTAGAAGGAGCAGAATAAGGAGAGGGTGGTGATGGAGGCCACAGCAGCAAATGATCTGTCACCTTTGGTCTTTAGTACACGATAAGATGATCACTTTACGGGATTTCAAAAGTAAATAAATAAATACATAAATCATGCATAACTCCTGAAAGGGGGAAAACTCCAGATTGTAGCTTTAACTGGAGGGTTGTAGGTTTGCATCCCACTCAGTCGGTCTCAGGGCAGATAGCAGTGTCTCACCACCACAGTGTGGATGTGGATGTGTGTGTGTGTGTGTGTGTGTGTGTGTGTGTGTGTGGTGTTATAAAGTGCCTTGAGGGATTATAAAATCCCATAGGTGACTAAAATTAAATTTCCAAAACTTCATTCAACTCTAGGAATGACAAGCTGATTAATTTTGATGATGCATATAAATGTAAACATTTGACACCCTAGAAGCTGATGTTACAGCCTTAACAAGGACTCAACTTAAGCTCCTAAATGACTAGATGAATTTCAAGACTTTAACTAATACAGCCAGAAATACTCTGATTAAACTGATCAGTATTAAACTTTCCGGTTGGACAGTTTCCACCCTGCATGAAGCTAATTGCTAACCAGTACGGCGTCACTGGTTTCCCAGCAGGACGTTTTAGAGAACAAAAGAAAAGCCACACATCATGTGATAAACATTTCACAAGCATCGTATTGTGGTTTTGCAGCACCTGTCAGTCACTTGACGGTGGTCGGCTGTCAGCGTTTAGCAGCTTCCATAATTAATGAGCGACACAAACCGGAGAACGACTGTTTTTGTGAACATATTCCACACATTTACACTGATTAGGGCTACGACAGAGTCAGACACGAGCCTCTTTAAATCAACTCTGTACAACTTCACCAGTTTAGGGTCTACTTACCAGCTCTAACTCCAGACTAAACAGGTCCGAGGCTCGTTTTCTCATTTCGGTGGACTCCTTAGACCTGACTCTGGAACCAGCTAGCTCCCGGTGCTAGCTCGACACCAAAACGGACAGAAGCAGAAACCCTGATTTTTTCCAGCACAACATATCAGAAGCTGGTGTGGTAAGAGCCAGTCATTCTTTAACTCCAGATAATTTACACACTCAGCTAAAGTAAAACACGACAACACCGGTTTATTCCTCTGGTCAGAAGCGCCCAGCGTCTACCAGCCACATTATTTACTTCCTGTCATCCACTTCCGGTTACTTTAGGATTGGCTGAAGTGACCAAAACGAAAAAAGTTGATTGGACAGTTTTCTGTTCATGACGATGACGGCAAAGAAAAGTGAAATAAAGCCTGTGATTTTATTTACATAAAATTAGTATTATATATCCCATGAAATGTCTCTAAATATAATAGAGTAAGCTATTTTAATGGATGTAAAATACATAGAACAACAACCTGTAGTTTTGAGGGTACGGGGACACTTTTCCCAAAAAAGAAATTTTTGTCCCCTGCACTTTTTACCATCCAAAAACAATATTACTCTATATTAAATAGACACTGGTTGAGCACTAGGACCAAGCGGAAAACCACCGCTTGTGTTAAAGCCTGTTTCCCATTACAACCGTCCATAAGCTCATCCATTGGCTAGGGTGACCACATTTCCATTTCCAAAAAAGAGGACAGGAGATCTGTGCCTACCAATGACGTCACACTAGGGCTGGGCGACATGGCCTGAAATCAATATCACAATTTATTGGGGATTTCACCTCGATAACGATAAATGGACGCTAACTACAGGTATGCGCAGAAACAAAAAGTTGTCCACTAGATGGGGCTGTCACATGTATCACGTTGAGTCACATTTTTAAGTTACTCAAGTTGGTACAGCTTCTTAAAGGAGCATTAACATTGCCAACCTACACACATCTTTTCATTTTTTATCATCAAATTTATTGACATGGGAAAAAGTATCTCGATAAGAGTCAGAAATGTCTATAATGATACATTTTCGATTTATTGCCCAGCTCTACATCCCACTATGGCAAAACCATACAAACCACGTTGTGACCCATTGTTCCCCCAGGTGTAAGAGCTAAAATTAATATCAGATTCTGCCAATAAAAGGGCTCTAAAACAGTTCATATGTAAATATTTAGTATATTTATTGCAAAATCTCATTTTTTGCTGCTTTAGTGCTGCAACAAGGTTTTATTGATAAGAAATTATTATACATCTTGTTTTACTACAGCATCGGTGAGCTTCCTGTGCACAGATTATTAAGGATGCTTGTTTCAGCTGTGAGATTAGATGATAGGGTCAATGATAAAAAAGTTTGTCATGGACTTCATGGAAACTTTCAGAGAATCCACAAATAGTGGCTTTCAAATTGTTTTCTTACTGACAGAATTTTGTGAGTTTAGAAAAGAAGCAGATGAGATGGCGTGTATGACAATTTTGTTTTTCATCGGACAATATTAGAGCATGTCAGTAATGTCTAATGTGTTTTTATAAAAACTGTATAATTAATACTCCTGGACAAGGTATGAATTACACAGAGGCTTCTGGGGAGCCCAATTGTAGGAGTGGGGGGTGCTCCGTTTTGCTTTGGCCCCCAAAATGCCTTGAAACGGCCCTGGGTGTGTGACAGAGTTTTGAAGGTGATCTGATTCAGATAATCAGAATTGTATCAAATGTATTAATATTACATGTGTATAACTTATTGTTTTATAAAACGTGTAGTGGAGCAAAATCTACCTACATTTTACTTTCAAACACTTTGTTTTCTTGTTTTTATTGAAAGGGACTTTACGGACTTTTGAAGTTTTATGCTCGCGATTGCCCCCTCCGTCCAAAAGCGTAACGGCAGCTTCAACAGTAGGCTCGTGCACGAGACGCGCATGCTGTACGTGCACACTCCTTAACGAAAATAACAGCTGAGACAGTCCCTTGTGTGTGTGTGTGTGTGTGTGTGTGTGTGTGTGTATGTGTGTGTGTGTGTGTGTGTGTGTGTGTGTGTGTGTGGCCCGGAGGACAGAGGACAGGAGAATGCGCAGCAAATAAATTAAATAATTAGTTAGAGCTGTTGCCTTGTAGCAAGAAGGTCCTGGGTTCGATTCCCGGCCTGGGATCTTTCTGCATGGAGTTTGCATGTTCTCCCTGTGCATGTGTGGGTTCTCTCCGGGTACTCCAGCTTCCTCCCACAGTCCAAAAACATGACTGTTAGGTTAATTGGTCTGTCCAAACTGTGTGTGTGCATGATTGTTTGTCCTGTGTGTCTCTGTGTTGCACTGCGATGGACTGACTCTCTGTCCAGGGTGTACCCCGCCTGTTTGCCCGTTGACCGCTGGAGATAGGCACCAGCCCCCCCACCCCGCCCCCCCACCCTGCATGGACAAAGTGGGTTCAGATGGATGGATGGATGGTTCTGTACCTTTCTCTTCAGCACAGCCGACAAAGGTTAATGATGGGTCAGTCCGCCTGCATGCTCAGATCATTCCCTTCCCTTGCTTGAAAAATTGTTCCAAAATGAAAGTTGAACCCACATCTTTTTTACCTGTGAATTCAATGCCGTTCGGCGAGTCTCAAATAAAAAATTGTGCATTTTACTTTAAAAATATATACCATTAATGTAAAAAATAAACTCTAAATGAACAATGTTCACATCCAGAATTAAACCTGGGTCTCCTGCATGGGAGTCAGACATCATTCAAGGTGAGCTACACACCAGTAACACTCAAAGCATCTGTAACTTTTATATCCTTGATAACACCCAAAACAACGTCAAACCAAAGAACGGTTCGGAGCAAAAATGGCCATTTTGTTGCTAATTTGCAGAAAATATCTAGAAGAAAGTAGCTAAGGATCCTCAGAAATGTAGCTAGGTTCATCATTAGGCGTTAGGGCATTTAAAGTTACTTGATACATGATGTAGCTACGTGGTGCATTTGACAAGACAGAGCTGAAAACGGCTCGTGTCGCGTCGGTCACTGCCTCCGCTTCGGTCTGTCAAAATGAGTGTAGGTGGTTGGACCCAAGATGCAGAAATCCCCAGAACGACTCAAGGCAGGAGAGGTTTAAAGAAAATAATTCATTTATTAAAGGAGGATGTGCCAAAATCTGAAGCACAAATAATAAGACTAACTCTCAAAAATTCACTGAAAAGCTCACACATGAGCACAGACTCGGGAAAACTCGAGAGGGGAACGAGCAACGCAGACACACACGACAATGAACCAACAAACACTGAGGGACAAGACAGGGGTTTTAACACAGAGGGAAGCAATCAGGTGAACAGGTGACAGGTGTGAGGAGTGAGGTCTAGAGGGAGGACTGGTGAAATCAATTAACTAAATGGGAAAGGAAGAACTAAATGGGAAAGGAAGAACCAAGCAGAGGGAAAGATAACCATAACCTATAAGAGACTGAATAACTAAATCTAGAACTAGGTGCAGAAATAAACAACTAATAACCAGAGGGGTGAGGAGGACTAATGCAAACAAATGGGAATTACAAGGGAGTGACTAGGAGGAAAACATGAGGAAAGCCTAAACAGAGCTGGGGAACACAAGAAGACACATGAGGAGGACCTGAGGGAGAACAGGAGGGGGCTGGGGACCAAGGGGACACCGAACATGACACGGTCGGGTTTTGTTTTTACCCTCTCTTTCTTTCTCTCTCTCTTCATTAAAGTAAAAGTAGATTTGAAACTGAGTACAGGACTATTTGGTCAGCAGAACAGCCTCTCGCTCCCCAAATATTCTGTTCTAAGACCTGGTTTGATCTCCAGAGAGGTGTTAGTTTTAGCAAGTGAGGCAGAAACCAAATAGAGGAAGCAACTCCCTCTGTTAACCCCTTAGCATTCCAGTGTCCTTTCCATGGGACAAAACCTCATTGCATTCATTAAACCTGGAAATTGAAGAGGTTAAGGGTCCATGTTTGGACCAATCAGAAGCCGGAGAATGTAGGAGGTGTTAATAAAAAGTCCTCAGATGTCATATCTTTCTAAGCGGCTTATTCGAAAATAATTCGAAAATATTTCTCTTACTATGTGGGATTTAAATACGATGCATCTCATTAATACACTGATTTTGAAATGTGACATGATTATTAAAAGATCAAGTAGATTGTTTTGGTGTATTTTTAGATCTGAAATAATGCATTTCAACAATAAAGTTGTTTTGATTTATTACTGAAAAGCAATCAAGACATTAAATCACTTTATATAAAACATTCATCGTATAAAACAGAATATGACAGTAATTACTCTGTACAGTGAGGAAATAATTGTATGAGCCAGGATAAGATTCTTTTTATCGATGTCTCATCTTCAGGAGACGTTGTGTGACTTCTAGCAGATAAGGAAGTCAGGAGGTGACATTTTATTATGGCCTTCCTCCCGGTGGCGAGGTCATAAACAGTATGTGTTCTAGTTTGGAAACCAGACAGTTAACCTTTGTGTGTATATCCTATACACACACACACACACACACACACACACACACACACACACACACACACACACACACACACACACACACACACACACACACACACACACACACACCATGTGAATCCTCTCAGTCTGCATGCCTCTGTCCTGAGTGCTGGTTCCAGTGAGCAGTGGCGCTGTTCGTGGTCCTGAACTCTTGCTCCCGGAGCAGAGAGGCAGAAGCCGTAACACAGTGTTTATTAGGGATGTAAGAAAATATCGATATGGCAATATATCGTGATATGTTTCCCAGCAATATTATATCGATATTCAAAAGCAGTGTATCGGAAATATCGATATGGCAATATATCGTGATATTTTCCCAGCAATATTATATCGATATTCAAACGCTGTGTATCTATTTCTTGAAAGAATTTACATGCAAACATTTGTGTATTTTCTTTTCGTTTTGCGCAATTCAATCGCCACCCGCTAGTTGGCAGCAGTGTGCAACAGGTTTTGTTTCCACCACTGAAATGTAAAACCCTCCATCATGGTTCAGCTACCTCATGTTAAACATGTTACGTATCAGTTTGGACTGTTTATTGAACATTCTTACAATAAATTCAGTAAAAAAATTGCTTGTAACGTCTGACTGAATGTATCGCAATATATCGTGATATATCGTATCGTCTCCCCTGTATCGTGATATGTATCGTATCGCCAGAATTTCAAAAATACACATCCCTAGTGTTTATGTATATTTACATATAAGTGTATTTGTGTATTTATATGTGTTGTTGCCTTCAGGGAAGCCTGCCTGTTAAGGCACCGGGATGTGCACAGGCTGGGCCGTAACGATGTGTTGTTGATGTTTTGTGAGTAAACAAAGTGTTTTGATGACTGTTACCGCAAGACAAGAGACCGCAGCCAAAACAGTGAAATGCTTTCAAACAAATCATACAAGTTTATTCCACTTACTGCACTTCAGGTGTTTGCATTTGAGTCACAACCATCACAAATAAAAAATACTTCAGTGGCACAACTAAAACACTGAGTGAACAGAGAAGTGGAATGTTTTCACACTTGCGTTCGTTTGTTTTATCCATATCAGATAGTCCTCGGTAACTTAGCAGTGGTATCAAGTTCAGATTAGTTTTCTGTCAAATAAAGTGCACATGTACTATTTTCTCTCACAGAGATGAAAACAAAACACTTTTAGACGTTTAACGCTGGACACAACTGACTGGAAAAGGCCTGAAAGTGGAAACAAAATGAAGAAGATTACAGTTTGTTTTGTCGTTAGAGATGATCTGGGAACTCCATTGTCACTTCAGGAGTTAGGAACCAGGACAGTGCTTCCATAAATACTAGGTGCATTTCTAGAGATATAAATAACAGTCGTGTGTTTTGATATTTACTGCAAAACATTTTTATGAATGCATATTTAGGGAAGTCAAATAACATCCACTCTTCAGTAAACCAGTTAAAACAATCAACTGGGAGCCAGTAGAGGGCAGTAGAGTACAAGTAGTGCATGAACTGAGACTGTTTACATCGTTTACATCAGCTTTACGGTTGTGGTTTCTCACGTAAATAAAGTCGCTCACAGACCAGTTCCTCTGATAAATCAGTACATCTGAGTTTAAAATGACCCACAAGCCAAACGCCAACACAGCCGTGATACCTCATCCACATAAAGTTACAAATATTAAATAAAAACCTTTCCAGTGTGAAATCCTGCCTTTCTGTTTGGTTCACATGCTGTCTGATCGATGTGTTTTTGCATAAAAAGAACCTGAACTAGTCTTAAATCACTGCTAAGATGCGGCACATGTAACAGATTTGGGTTTGCACATGAAGCCACCAATAGCTTGTTCTGACTCCATCAGCCTTCATCTCTGTGGAAGGGATGGTGTAAATATGTGTTGCTGAATGTTAATGTGGTGGTTTTTAACGTTCCCCTCTAGAGAAGTGGACCAGGTGCTGCAAAAAATAAAGGGTTTGGTTTTGGTTTTAAACATGTTTTGATCAGAAAAGCACTTTTTCACACTTCTGTAGCCACTAAGAACACACAGAACGTCCCATATGCATGCGTACGCACACACACGCACGCGTGCACACACACACACACCTGATAGTGTTTCACAACACATCATTAAGACTCCATGAAATCATTAGTATTTAAAAAACAACAGTTAATGCACCTTTACCGTAGATTTGTTTAAAGTCATTGGTTTATTTTAATAAATAACATTTATTTATTATGAAACTGGAATGTACATCGTTTTAAGTGCTTGTCTTGTGTTTCATTGTTCTTCCAGACAACTTTTTTTTTTTACCAGAGTTAGTTTAAAAGAACCCATGGGGTCACATTTTTGGAAAGCTGCTACTTGCTGCAGTTTTCTCATGCGGGGAACCAGCCGAGCTTCGGGTCACCACCCCAGAACCCGGAGGGCCGCGCACCCCAGATGGAGTGTCAGTCTTCCCTGTGGCGCCTCCCAGCTTCTCCTCTGATGCTTTACTCAGCTGCTCTTTGCTCTTGGCCCCCTCCTGAGAGCTGAGCTTGATTGGTCCGAGGACGTTTTTGGCCACCGTGGTCAGCTGGCTGACAAAGCTCGTCTTGTCACCGGGGGAAACGGGCCGTGACTTACACAGAGACGGTCCGCAGAGGGAGGGAGCGATTGCTGTTGGGGAGGGGGAGGGGGAAGGTGAGTGCTCCTCTACCACCTCCAGACGGCATTTGTCCTCCCAGTCCAGGGTTCCCCGGTAGCAGTTGACAGGTCCCAGCCCCTGCCTGACTTTGCCCAGCGACAGCAGCTGGCCATGCGGAGGAACCACTGGAGCCAAGACTCGAGTTGGGAGCTTGGGGCTTTTGGAGCTGAGTTCTGGAGTCCTGGACTCACCGCTGTCAGTCTTTCTCAGACTATTTCCCAAAGTTGATGATTTATTAAAAGACTTGTTTATCGTGGGAGGAGCTCCCACCGCTGCCGGAGGCTTTTCTGACGCAGACGAGCTCTTGTTGAAGGCAGAAGCTGGTAAACAAATACTTTGCTTTGCTTCAGATTTCCCTCCACATAACTTTTCCTGGAGATCTTTGTTGGATAACACACTTTTGGCTTCTGGTGTATGTATCTCCTGACCTCTCTGGGCCATCTCTGGCCCTTCCGGCCCACCCGGACCCGGGATTCTGACGAAGGTGCTCGGGGTCATGGCTTTAGTCGTCTCTACACTCTGCGAGGAGCTGTGTGAGTTTAAGTGAACATCACTTGCATACGATTTTCTTGCTAAGCACGACTGTACTCCTGTTGGTGTCCTCGGCCCGGTGTCCCTCTCCTTCTCCCTCTCCCGTCCCCTCTCCCTCTCTTCCCTGTCCCTTCCAGCCAGAAGTGTCTCTCTGCTAAGTGGGGACTCCTGCCTCCCAAGTCGCCTCACAGGCTTCAGCACACCTGTTTCCAGGCTGATGGGGGACACGGGAGGAGGATTAGGAGGCAGATTTTCTCCCTCGGTCTCCATCAGGCTCTGGAGGCCGAGCTCACACAGAAAGGCATCCTTGCGGTAGTCCGAGTGCTGCACCTCCAGGCTGTGTTTCCTCAGCGGACCCCCGAGCCCTCCTGTAGAATTGGACTGGGTCAGAGGTGAGCCCAGCTTTTCTGCTGACTGGACCCGCTTTAACAGAGGTGATCGTGGCGGCTCTGCGCTCTTTGGTCTGGGGCGGACCACAGGAGGTGAGGAGTGGAGCTTGACAGGGAAGGACTGGGTGGTGTTGGAGCTGCCTATGGTGTGGCCTGGTAAGGGTGGAGGAGAAGACTGTGTGGGAGAGGGTGTGTGGGCCAGCGGGGACAGCGGGATGTTACCGGCTGACTTACAGCGAGCAGAGCGATACTGGCGGTGAAGTTTTGGAGAGAGACCATGCAGCGAGCTGGGCCTCATGTGCTGGGAGGGAGAGGGGGAGTTGGGAGTGCTGGAGGCTGGAGAGCTGCTCTGGGGAGAAGCACCTGAACAGAGCAGAAAAAAACAAGTCACAACATGAAGAAAAAACCTGTACAATGAAGATGATCTTAGAGGTTTATCAGTCCATGATTGAGTGTTGTTTATTAATGAAGCTCTGCACCCAGATAGGAGGGCTCTGGGGTGGAGCGGTGGCCCTGAGTCGGGGAGCGGGCGGACAGACTGTGAGTCGGGGAGCCTGGAAGGCTCTCGCTGGAGGACAGAGAGCGGTTCAAAGAGGACAGGCTGCGGCTGGTGTGGAGGAAGTTGGACTGCTTCGTGATCTTACGGAACAGAGAGCTGCGCTTCTTACTGCAGGGGTAAGAGAACAAAACGAGAGGGAAGAGAGATGAATGCATCCAGGGCTGCAGATTCATGCTTTAGAGAAAGAAAACAGCACTGCAACACAACACCAACACCTCTTCCTACACGTGAGGCTCGACTGCAAACCTCCCAGAGTCTAAAAACAAAGAAAAGATGAACTTAAACCTTTATTATGAAATACTGAAACACACATTAAGGATCTGAAGCTCAAGGGAAGCTAATGCGAGTCAAACGTAGTCACTCTGGTGAAAGTCTCCAGACACATCAGAGTAAATTCTCGTTAATAATAATATTTACATTGTAGGCGTGGTTGTGTAAGCTAGGACTAACAGTCTTTAGTAACATGCAGTGTTACCCATCCTGTCCCTCCTTGCCCACCGTCCTCTTGTTTCGTCGGGCCATCTTACACTTGTAGCTGGCCTTCCGGGCCGGGCCCACTTTAATGGAGGTGTTCTCAAAAGGCGTAGTTGTCACCGTCACTTTGTTGCCACTCTGCACAGATGAGAGAAATCTGCTGTGAGTTTTACGACGACCACGGCCTCGTCTTTACGACGTACAGCGGCGACTGTCAAACCCGACTATAAACAGACATGGCTGCTGTGCCTACCTTCAGGATGAGTTCAACCACTTCAGTGTGGACCAAACCGTGGACGGGCTCTCCGTTCACATGAGTGATGAGGTCACCGGCACACAGACCAGCTTCCTGGGCGGGGCCGCCGTCCTCCACATGCTGCCAAACAGACACAAGTTTCTCTGTATTTATATATGTATGTGTGTGTGTGTGTGTGTGTGTGTGTGCATGTGTGTGTGTGTGTGTATGTGTGTGTGCACCCCTTCTATGTCCCAACTGTGATGAAGCGTTAGAACGAGTTATTAATCTGTGGGAATGAGTTATTAATGCAGGAGAACGAGTTATTACTGCGTGGGAACTAATTATTCATGCATATGAACTAGTTATTAATCCGTGGGGATGAGTTATTAATGCGTAGGAATGAGGAATCGATGGAAATTAGTTATTAATGTGTGGCAACAAGTTGTTAATGCGTGGGAACGAGTTATTAATTTGTGAGAATGAGTTATTAATGCCTGAGGGGTGTGTTCCAGAGATGAAAGGATCTCCTCCTAAAAGCCCAAGATCATTAACTTTTAACTAATATTAGATTTTATCATAAGGTTGCTGATATTTTATTTAAATAATACTAATCAGTCACAACGTGAATGGGGTTACGGGCGTTACACAAGAGAGGAGGACACAATCGCCCTCTGTCCATGGTGCTGAAAGGAAAAGATGCATCGCCTGCTTATTGGATGGTTTGATTGGTTAAATAAAACAACTGGTAATTATTCCTCAAAGGAAATATCAGCAACCTGATGATAAAATAATATTAGCTAAAAGTTAATGATTAGGTCTTTTTTAAGAGTAGATCCTTTCAAGACTCAGTCCCACACATTATTAACTCGATCCCACACATTAATAACTCAGCCCTACACATTATTAACTCAATCCCACACACTAATAACTCCATCTCACGCATTAATAACTCAATCCCACACATTATTAACTCGATCCCACGCATTAATAAATCCCACGCCTTAATAACTCGATCCCATACATTAATAACTCAATCCTATGCCTTAATAATGTGGGATTGAGTTATTAATGTATGGGATCGAGTTATTAAGGCGTGGGATTGAGACATTAATGCGTGACATTGAGTTATTAATGGGTGAGATCAAGTTATTAATGTGTGATATCAAGTTATTAATGTGCGAGATCAAGTTATTAATGTGTGGGATTGAGTTAATAATGTGTGGGTTCGAGTTAATAATGTGTGGGATTGAGTGTGTTATCTAGAGCCAGTGAGCCAATAATAACTTGATCTCACATTAATAACTTGATACCACACATTAATAACTTGATCTCATGCATTAATAACTTGATCCCACACATTAATAACTCAATCTCACACATTAATAACTCGATCTCACACATTAATAACTTGATCTCATGCATTAATAACTTGATCCCACACATTAATAACTCAATCTCACACATTAATAACTTGATCTCACACATTAATAACTCAATCTCACACATTAATAACTTGATCTCATGCATTAACAACTTGATCTCATGCATTAATAACTTGATCCCACACATTAATAACTCAATCTCACACATAATAACTCAATCTCACACATTAATAACTTGATCTCACACATTAATAACTTGATCTCATGCATTAATAACTTGATCTCATGCATTAATAACTTGATCCCACACATTAATAACTCAATCTCACACATTAATAACTCAATCTCACACATTAATAACTTGATCTCACACATTAATAACTCAATCTCACACATTAATAACTTGATCTCATGCATTAATAACTTGATCCCACACATTAATAACTCAATCTCACACATTAATAACTCAATCTCACACATTAATAACTTGATCTCACGCATTAATAACTTGATAACACACATTAATAACCTCAATGTCACCAGACAGGCATCGTATATTAATGCAACAGGTGGGCCTAAATCTTGGTACAAAGCTCTCCGATGATCTTCCCTCCGGACCGGGCTACACATTCTCACACCCAAAGCGTCAAAATGTGACGCGTGTGACCACGCCTCAGTATATGACAATTCGGGATGCCCCAGCGCGTCAGGACAGGACCGCAGGGACACGTGTCACTGCTGGCGTCCGTATTTGACGCCCGCGGTCACACGGACACTATTCCTTGATTTAACCTTCTCCTCACCCCAATCCTAACCTTAACTCAGTGACTCAGCTGAGTTAAGGTTAGAAAGAGGTTGAGGGGAACGTTAAGTAGTTCACAAGTCGGTCAAATGTCCGTCTCACCTCTCTCATGTCGTCCTCGATGCGTCCTCTCCTGACGCGTTGGGGCATCCCGAATCGTCATATATTGAGGCGTGGTCACACGCGTCACATTTTGATGCTTTGGGTGTGAGAATGTGTTGCACCGGGAGGGAAACTTCAAACGGGTTGTGAATCCACGCTTGAGATGTGTCTAAGTGGGAGGTTCTTCCGTAGATGCTCGGCGAGTCGGCTGAGGTGTTCAATTATGAGACTTTTCAAATGCTCATTTTAAGACGAATTGCATTTTGATTAGTCATTTTAATTGTAATTATTTAAAATTTGACAAAGGAAATGTTTATTTACACATTTTTATTGTGTGGGGAACAAAACGCTATAATTGTGTTATTATTACCATTAAAATGTTCAGCTTGCGCTCTCCCTAGCGGCAGCTCCACTTAAAAAAGAACTATGAGCTAGTTTGTTTTTGGAACAATGAACTTACCCGGTAGTTAAAAACTTTTTAAATGATGCACTGAAATAAGTTAGTTTAAAAATGTATGAACTGAACTTTGAACTACAGTGATCCCTCGTTTATCGCGGTAGATGCGCTCCAGACCTGGCCGCGATAGGTGAAAATCCGCGAAGTAGGGACTCCATATTTACAGTATTTATTTAACAGGAGAGGGAGCGCAGCTGATCCTCATCAGCCTGATCAACGGGACGGCTTTAAAAGGAGGACGGTTATCCAGATACGACGCCGGATGATTAACTACTGCCTGACTCGCTTCTCCTCCGGATTCGCTCCCGTCTTGGAGACTTCTGGATACTCACTGGTTCGCTGCCTGGATACCAACTCCGCTCTGCCGTCCCGCTCTCCACTGTGCTCACGCTCCCTCTTCGTTACCTCATCCTCGTCCTCCTCATCCGTCTACTCTGCCACCTGGAAATCTACAATTCGCCTCTGGATATCACCCCGGCTCAACTCCCCTCCACATTCACCCTGAACTTCCGCATTTTGCCGCTTCCTGGTTTACCCTCCGCTGGATCACCAGTGCGCCCTCAGTTCTCCTCATCATTAAAGAAATAAAATTATTATCTTTTACCTCGACTCGAGTCTGATTCTGTAAGTCTTGGGTTAGACACTTACCCCAAAACATGACAGAAAAATACCGCCGATCGGTAAAAAATTCCGCGAATTGGCGAATTTCCCTTGAATAAGGCTCCAAAGAAAAAATCCGCAAAGTCGTGAATCCGCGATAAATGAACCGCGAAGTAGCGAGGGATCACTGTACTTCCCAACACTAGATATGGGCCCTGGAAATCAACCTAAAAACCGTCGGCAGACACCGGCCAACGGCTGACCACACCTCATCGGTATTAGAAAACCCCACATTGGTCGATCCGCAACAGAAACTAGAGTGAACTTTAACAAACATTCCAGTTTCTCCTCTAGCATTTATCGTTTTAACAGTTTAACTTCTAACAAAACAGGACGTAATTAAAGCTTCTTACCCAAACTATGTGATGCACGCTGTAGATGTCGCTGTCTCCGATGTAGACCCTGATGGCCCGCAGCGTGAAGCCATACTTCTTTCCAGATCGATGGATGGTGATCGGTGAACGCAGAACACTGACAGCAGGGGAAAAGTCTCTGCTGGGTGAAGAGTCGCGTGACGAAGGGTTGGAGGAGAAGGAGCGAGGGGACATGGGGCTGGCCAGAGGAGAGAAGCCACCATGTTGCTCCACTGGAAGCACAGAGAAGGTAAAACTGGTTTTTGCTGCAGGAAAGAGCCGGTAAAGGGTTTCTAAACCTTCAGTCCTGGTGCTGCTCACCTGATGGGATGATAACAGACAGAGCCGTGGCAGAAGCTGACTTTATCACCTTGTTGCCTTGTCTGGAGTTTCGTTTCTCTCCATCACCAGATAAAGGATGGTGGCGTGCCCTGCGGAGGACCAGGTCACTGGTGGCTCTGGGTCCCAGAGGGTCATAAAGGGGAGTGATCACATCTTGACCTGCTGCAGCAGGACCTGGAGATAACGTGGCGATGCCTGGAGTCTCTCCTGGTCTGCAGGGTTTGTCTGTGAGGAGTCAGAGTTTAATCAAAATCACAGCAAAACAAAACGTTTCTGAATCTAAATCTGATTTTGTTTCACCAAACCCACAAACAAACCTGCTCCCTTAATCTCCTTCGGACCGATCCTCGGCTCCAGGAGGCTCGGTGAGGGGGCGGAGCTCCCGTCCAGGGAGGTTCCTCGGAACTTCATGTGGTTGTGACGGGAGAGGAAATCCGGTTCCCCTTCAAGAGCCGAGGCAAAACGATGAGTGTCCATCAAAGCTGAGAAGCGACGCCTGGCCCCTAGAGGAGGGCTCGCGTCTCCTTCTGAGTGCAGAGACTCTGAACACGACAGTCGCTTCCTGTATGGGCGGGACATCAGTGCGCTGTTAGGTTTTAGCTCTAGCGTAGCTGCTACTTACCAAATGACCAGATTTATGGCAAGGCAAGGCAGCTTTATTTATAGAGCACATTTCAAACACAGAGGCAGTTCAATGTGCTTTACAATCATCAGGATATGATATGATATGGTGGTTCTTTCCTCCTGAAGGAAGGATTTGAAGTTCGCTGAACTTACAGCCATTTTCCCTCCGTCTTTCTCTGTTTCTGGTTCGATGACATCACTTTCGTGAAACGCATTTGTACTCCTGGAATTATTTTCACACTAAACCTAAAATGGCATTCCCCCCCCCCCCAATCAAAAATAAGCGCGTTCTAGCACCATTGACTTGTATTCATTTTCTCATTCTTCTGGGGTCTGAAAGTAGATGGGTGTGACTTAGGCACCCTATGACTTCGTACCATCTTCTTGTGCCTTCTCCCGGTTTGAACCCTGCTTTTTTCCAGTCAGAGAACCACTCAGCCATTTATTAGTCATTTCTTATAACCCCTTCACTACGTTTTTTAATGGCTCACAAACACACATGTGTAAATAAACAATTTTACATGACTAAAAATTTAATGTAGGTCTATCTTTTATAACTACAGGATCCTGAGATGCTCTATTTTTCCACAGAAAAACATATTTGTACCGTCAACACAAGTTTAGACTAAACCCAAAGGAAATTTGGATTTCCCAGCTTCCACCCAGCATTCAAACGCACCATCTACGCACAAATCAGTCAGGTGAGAAAGGATTTTTGTACTTGTAAACTGATCCGTGTGTAATGTGGTTTTGTCCGTGTGTACCAGGTGATTTGTGTGTAGGAACTGTGGTTACACACGAAAATGTAAACACAAGTTACAAATCAAGAGTTACACACACATCTAGATACACAGGCACAAATTTAGATACACACAAATCTAGACACACACACATACACACACGCAAATCTATACACACACACATACACAAATCTACACACACACACACACACACACACACACACACACACACACACACACACACACACACACACACACACACAAACACACACGCACACACACAAATCTAGATACACACACACACACACAAATCTAGACACACACACACAAATCTAGATACACACACAAATCTAGATACACACAAACACACACACAAATCTAGACACACACACACAAATCTAGATACACACACAAATCTAGACACACACACACACACACACACACAAATCTAGATACACACACACACGCACACACACACACACACACACACACACACACACACACACACACACACACACACACACACACACACACACACACACACACACACACAAACACACACGCACACACACAAATCTAGATACACACACACACACAAATCTAGACACACACACACAAATCTAGATACACACACAAATCTAGACACACACACACACACACAAATCTAGATACACACACACACGCACACGCAAACACACACACACACACACACACACACACACACACACACACACACACACACACACACACACACACACATCTAGATACACACACACACAAACCTAGATACACACACAAATCTAGACACACACACACACACACACACACACACACACACACACACACACACACACACACACACACACACACACACACACACACAAATCTAGATACACACACACACAAACCTAGATACACACACACACACACACACACACACACACACACACACACACACACACACACACAAACCTAGATACACACACAAATCTAGACACACACACAAATCTAGATACACACACAAATTTAGATACACACAAATCTAGACACACACACACACACACACACACACACACACACACACACACACACACACACACACACACACACACACACAGATCCGTTGAAACGTTTTTCTCCCCATAGATGTGGACCGATGTGGACCGATGCAGCAGATGTCACAGCTACCTGTCCACCAGTGGCTTCTCAGACCCACACCTGACCAGATAATGACTGAAGTGACAATTAAACCAAATGAGGTGACACAGGCGGTGTTCTTGTTAAATCAATCCTCTAATGAGCTGAAGGCACGTTACACGAGTGAGTGGGACAGACTCTCTGTTCTGTGGAAGACCATCAGAAGCATAAGGTCATAAATAATGAGCACTATTATCTATAAAAGGAAGGGAAATGTAAAAACAAATCATCTGTTTTATTTATGAATCTGGAGGACCTTCAGTCCTAAAATAACCTGAGAGATTTTTAACGAGTGAAACTGAAATTTTCAGCTCTGATCAAAGCGATGCAAATTAAAAACATGTTTTAATAAAAGTCAGTCAGCTGTTTCTGATTACAGGTTCAACGCTGTTTAACAGCTTCAGTTTTTGAGATTTCAACCATCTGTTAGATTTTCTCAGAATAAACCAAAAGCAAAAGTTTTATTCTTATTATTCTTTGTTACAACACCACCACCACCACGTTTTCTCAACACATTAGCAGGGGGTCTCTACTATAAATGAAGGCCCCGTTAGTCGACCTCTGAGGGGAAAAGCTCCGGCGCTCCTGTTTCAGAACCTAGAAGTGAGCCAGATGAGAAGCGAGCAGCAGACGGCGGGTTTTCCTGACATTCGGACATCTCCTCTCTGATTGGATAACAGCAAAGCGACCCTACCACTGAGTCTGTTGGCTTTGCAATGTTGATGCTTAATGTCCACAAATAACAGAAGCCTGAAGTTCTGTTGGTGGTGGAGTTGCTAACGCTAACAGGTAGCGTCTTGCAGCTGAGACCTAACAGAACCTTTGGAATCCCTCCGTAGAAAGCAGCCCACTCACATCTCAGGAGACCCCGTCCTCCAGCTCTTGTCTCTCATGCTGAGGCTGCCCAGGCTCTCTCTCTTGGTCACCTTGTCCTCCCGTGGGCCCTTGTGATCCCGATGGGACACAGAGGTTGGTGTTTTCTGTTCCAGCTGAGACAGATGCTCCATGCTGCTGTAAACCTGCAGTTAAACATTCATATGAGAAAGTTTCCATCTAGATGTAAATTGCGTGTCTTCATAACGAGTGCTTATTAAACCATGGACGTAATTTTCACTTTAGAAGTGGGGGGAACACGGGGGGGATCTTTACAGTATGTTCTAATGGGAAACCGGCTTCAACACAAATGGTTGTTTTCCGCTTGGTCCTAGAGCTCAACCAGTGTCAATTTAATATAGCGTAATATTGTTTTTGGATGGTAAAAAGTGCAGGGATCAAAACTTGACTTTGGAAAAAGTGGGGGGGACAAGTCCCCCCTGTCCCCCCCCAAAATTACGTCCATGTATTAAACCATTTTCTGCTGTTGGTGTAACTTCTTGCTTTATTGTCAACTCTTTGTTTTGTTCTTGTAAAAGGTTCCCATACTCCTTCAGAATAAAAGCTCCCGTTTGTGTCCTGATCGGCAAAGTCTGGCTCACATCTAGACTCAGACTGGTACACACTAGGCTGCACAGGACAATAACCAAGCACCAGTTTTATTGTCTTTGACGCTAGGCTGGTTGCTTGTTTAAACCGTGTCTTTGCAGTGAAAGATCACAGTCCCAAATGTGACGTGGGGCCTAATCACACGCTGACTTTTTATTTTCGTGGCTTGTAAGGCTCTCATTATGAGCAGAGTAACATCATGTGGGGGAGGACAAGACGAGCTGCATTAAAAGGAAGCCTACAGGCGGTTCAGCGGTGCACCATGGAAACCAGCATCAGCTGAACACCCAGCTGTCTTCTCAGGATAAAAACACAACAACTGCTGCTAAAATGGTTCGAAACATCTTGTTTTATGTCGTAAACATCTGAAAGCTGCACTTTCATACGGACTAAACCGAGGAGCAGACAAGACATGTTCAGAGAAAGCTAATTTAAGCTCTCGGTTTAATTTTACTTAGCTTCATGTTGTAATTTTTGCTTTTAAACCCTTTAAAGGTGTTGATTATTTCACATGCATGGAGTCAACAGCCTTACATTTGTTTTGCCATCCAGTTTCTGTTTCAAAATATTAATTTATTTCTAAATAAGAAATTAAAAGTTCATGAGTTAATTCATCAAGAATTAACAGTTAATTAAAAAACACGAGTGGGCTAAACTCGCAGCCATGTTTTATTCTCATAAACAAAAGGTGGGATTCTTTCATTGTTTATTTGATGCCAAAAATATCCCCAAATCCAGTCATTCAAGTCTATAATTTAGTTTTTGTTCAGTGTCTGAATATTATTACGTCTGTCATCAATAGCCCAACAACAACAGAAGGCGATTAAGTAAACCACTGTGGAAAACATGGATTATATTTGATAATATTAAACTCACAACATCCCTAAAAACAACAAGTTATATCTAAATGAGACAAACTGCTTGTCTTTTGGACTCTGCTAAGATCCTGAACTAAAGCATGTTTCAGCTACCTACGGTTTCATAGCACAGTGTGAAACATCTTATTGTTCCGGCTCTTGGAGGGTGCAGACGCTTTTTTCCTCCTCTCCTCCGTATTTTATCCTCAAGGCCCTTTATCTGTCTGTGGGTGCTGGGTGCACGGCTGCCTCTGCATTTTTTCTGGAAACTGAAATTCACTAAAATGGATCTGGTCAGTTGGTCTCTTAACGCGATTGGTAAAATTTTTTCAACGATGAGAACGGGAGAAGGGGCTCCCGGATGCCCCTCCGGGACAGACCCAGTTGGGCATATCATGGACTCCTGGAAACAGTGGAACTTGATCTGCCTATCTCAACTGTCTGTGGAGGACTCTGAAGACGTGTGGATATTCGTGGTGTTGGTGTCGGGTTTCCTGCTCATTGGCCTTGGAGGCTTCCTGGCTTACCGGAAAATTAACGAGCTGTCGAGGAATATCGGCCTGATCCCGGAGCTCAGAGATGGTTTGCACCGCGCTGTGAATTCACAGATTCAAATAATTGCGAGCATGAATCGTAAGCTTGGGACTTTGGCTGAGATTCGTTTTTGGCACAAAGATGGATGCCCTCAAGGAGAGACTGGACGAATCAACACGGATTGGGATAGACTAACGTCCATTATTATTGGGATTTTGAGAGGTTGAGGACCAACAAACTGTAAGACGGAGAGGAAATTATCTCTGTCTGGCCCCAAAACTATTTCTAATCGGAATCTGGCGCCCTTTGAGCCTGCAAGGCTACAATGAAAACTTCCCCCTCAGAAGATATGTGGAATGTGCCGTCGCTATGGCAACTCAACTCTGTCTCCTTTCCCAGCCTGGGCGGGACTGCGGGAAGGCCGCTGAAACGTTCCAGGGTCACTGCAACCCTCCAGCCCTCAATGCTCCTCCCCCTATCCACACTGAGGTGACATGCGCTGCTTATCGTGGCTGCAGGAACTGAAGTGGGGATAGTCCCAACCCACCACCCCACCTAGTGGACACTTATGTTGTGTTGTCTGAAGTCTCTTGCACATCTGTCTGAGGTGTTTTTTTGCAGAGTAAAGCTGCCCTCCTGGTGGAGGGTAACTCTGAAGTGCCTTTTTTTCCCTCCACCTGAACCAATCCTCATGTTACCCTCTTACCTCTATTAAGGTAGCGCGACTCAGGTTGCGATTGACCACAGTCACCAATTCTTGTCATGTGTCTTGCCTATGCATGTCTGATCTCTGAATTGTGTGTACTGAAACTCTAATTTCCCTCCGAGATTAATAAAGTATCTTTGATTCGATCTGTGCAACGCCAAAGTGACAAAACCTTTTGTTAGTAAGAAAGAAGAACAGCAGCTGCTCACACGACGGGAGATAAAAGCTGCAGATGTGGCTTGTGTTGCTTCAGAAACCACCAAATCTTTGTCTGAAAGGTTTCTCAACAGCTGAGTCAGAGGCTGCATCAGCTACGACTCTAGACGCATCACACCCTCTTGACCCAAACCCGAGTGAAGGAAGAAGGCTACACACTGAGTGAGTCAGGATGAAACATTTGAACCTGAAAGGAAAACACTTTAAAAGAAATAAAGAGTCAAAGATCAGAATGGGGAGTAAATAGAAAACGTGTGAATACAGATTACTCATGAAAGGCTGTGTGAGGCTTTAAAGTATAAAAGTGGAGCTTTAGGACTCTTAAAATAGAATCTGGAGGTTATAAAAAGAATAATAATTGATGAGATGTTAGACGGCCCTCATAGACTTCATTATTTAACACGAGGTATGCGAGCCAGGTCCAGACTCCCCTCCGTGGCCTACTTTATTCTGTCAGCTTCTCTCCTTCCTCGTCTATCACACACTCTCACAGGTCTGAGTGACGAGTTGCAGTGAAAACAACGAAGCTGTGAGAGATGAACCAGTAGGAGTCGTACCTTACTGAAGCGAGGAGAGCAAGAGGAGAACTGTCTGATCTCCACCGGCTCGTCGTCGTTGGTGTCATCCTCGTTATCTGTGTTGATGTGATGATAACGATCAGAGCGGGCTGAAGGGTGAGAAAGAAGAGAGCTCATCACACAGTGACTGGACCCAGAAAACAACCAAGCAACCCACAAATCTATTATTGTATCTACTGCAACATAAATCCAGGAAGACATACTGTCAAAGTAGCTGGTGTCCTCCTCGGACTCCAGGTGAGGGACAAACTCTGCTTTCTGTCTCAGCAGACTGTTCCAGTCCAGCCCGGAGAAAAACGGGTGCTGCTTCACTTCGAACGCCCCGCCTGGTGCCAGACACAAACAGCATTATCAGCCAGCTTCCCATGGTGAGATGGTCATGCTACTGGCCCAAGTGTCTCCTCCTGACAATCTTAAGTTAATCTTATGTGATGTCCCTGCCGTGTGTGGTGTGCTAAGAGCGCTCTGGCCAGCTTTTTAAATTTTCATAAGAGGGAGCTATTAAAAAGATCATCTCTTCTTCTTTCTTTTCAGAAGCACGCCGAGACCTCTCTGGTCAAAAATGAGGGAAGCTCAACATGGATGGTCTTGCCCCATGTGCGGCGTGCCCCGAGGACAAACAAGCCCTCTGCCTGTTGAATGGGATGTGTAGCCAATCAGAAAGCTGCACGAGCTAAATAATTTAGCGTGTCGTTTTTGCCGTGTGGCCGAACACCGCATCCATGATTTGTTTACATGTGTGGTCTGTAAAAAAAAGCTGAAATCGGACCCGATAATTAGCCTTTTGAAACCTCTCTCGGTGGCGGCTCTTAACACAAAAGTTGAAGGTGATATGAATCTTGCGCCCCCAGTGGCTGGCTGCTGGGTTGTGAAATTGCTCCCTCTACCAGTGAACCAATGAAGCCATGACTGTAACAGAAAATTGTTCATTGCAGCCAAGAACTACAGGTGCTGGCCAGTAAATTAGAATATCATCAAAAGGTTGAAAATATTTCAGTAATTCCATTCAAAACGTGAAACTTGTACATTATATTCATGCAATGCACACAGACCAATGTATTTCCGATGTTTATTACGTTTAATTTTGATATTTATAGGTGACAACCAATGAAAACATCAAATCTGGTATCTCAGAAAATTAGAATATTCTAAAGGCCAATGAAAAAATGTTTGTTTCTCTAATGTTGGCCAACTGAAAAGAATGAACATGAAAAGAATGTGCATGTATAGCACTCAATACTTAGTCGGGGCTCCTTTTGCCTCAATAACTGCAGTAATGCGGCGTGGCATGGACTCGATCAGTCTGTGGCACTGCTCAGGTGTTATGAGAGCCCAGGTTGCTCTGATAGTCGTCTTCAGCTCCTCTGCATTGTTGGGTCTAGCGTATTGCATCCTCCGCTTCACAATACCCCATAGATTTTCTATGGGGTTAAGGTCAGGCGAGTTTGCTGGCCAATCAAGGACAGGGATACCATGGTCCTTGAACCAGGTGCTGGTGGTTTTGGCACTGTGTGCAGGTGCCAAGTCCTGTTGAAAGGTGAAGTCTGCATCCCCATAAAGTTGGTCAGCAGCAGGAAGCATGAAGTGCTCTAAAACTTCCTGGTAGACGGCTGCATTGACCCTGGACCTCAGGAAACAGAGTGGGCCAACACCGGCAGATGACATGGCACCCCACACCATCACTGACGGTGGAAACTTTACACTGGACCTCATGCAACGTGGATTCTGTGCTTCTCCGCTCTTCCTCCAGACTCTGGGTCCTTGATTTCCAAAGGAAATGCAGAACTTGCTTTCATCAGAAAACATAACTTTGGACCACTCAGCATCAGTCCAGTCCTTTTTGTCCTTGGCCCAGGCGAGACGCTTCTTGCGCTGTTTCTTGTTCAAGAGTGGCTTGACACACGGAATGCGACACCTGAATCCCATGTCTTTCATGAGTCTCCTCGTGGTGGTTCTTGAAGCGCTGACTCCAGCTGCAGTCCACTCTTTGTGGATCTCCCCCACATTTTTGAATGGGTTTGTCGTCACAATTCTCTGCAGGGTGCGGTTATCCCTAGAGCTTGTACACTTTTTTCTACCACATTTTTTCCGTCCCTTCGCCTGTCTGTTAATGTGCTTGGACACAGAGCTCTGCGAACAGCCAGCTTCTTTAGCAATCACCTTTTGTGTCTTGCCCTCCTTGTGCAAGGTGTCAATGATTGTCTTTTGGACAGCTGTTAAGTCAGAAGTCTTCCCCATGATTGTGGTGCCTTCAAAACAAGACTGAGGGACCTTTTAAAGGCCTTTGCAGGTGTTTTGAGTAAATCAGCTGATTAGAGTGGCAGCAGGTGTCTTCTATATTCAGCCTTTTCAGAATATTCTAATTTTTTGAGATACCAAATTTGGAGTTTTCATTAGTTGTCACTTATGAATATCAAATTTAAATGTAATGAACATTGGAAATACATTGGTCTGTGTGCATTGCATGAATATAATGTACAAGTTTCACGTTTTGAAAGGAATTACTGAAATATTTTCAACCTTTTGATGATATTCTAATTTACTGGCCAGCACCTGTATTTTAATTAGTTTCACCAATCCTGAAGAGCTGTAAAATGAATCAGATACTCCTCGTTGCTCATTTGAAAACTACAGATGCTGAATTCTGTTTGGGAAGGCAAGAAAGGTTTTCAGAAAGGGGTTCAGCTGTGGAGTGGAGCCCTTCCTTCTTTACCCCCAAATTCCACTACCTCCGCTCCGCGCTCCGGCACAAACGCCGGCGCAAAATCGGTCCCGTTGTAGTCAATCAGAGCTATTCCACTACTGCGGCCGTGCTCCGGCAGTGCGGCGCCATGCACCGCCCTCTGTTCCGGCGTCCGGCAAAAAAAGAACCGATCCTATTTTTGCCGGACGCCGAAGCACCTCCACAGTAAATGGACAGAAATCACAACCACCCAACAGGAAAAGGAGCAAGCACAGCTTCCGTTTTTCCACAATACATCGATAAACAAAAAGCGTTTTTTGTTTCATATGCACAGGTTTAACAACTTTTAACAACTATCAATGGCGGCTGAAGTTTAAATGCACAAAAATAAGCCATAAATACAGTTTCTACTATCAAAGTAGTCACCCTTTGTTGATCCAAACACTGCTGATCTCTCAACACAAATGATGGGCAGATTAAACAGTTCATGCCGATGCTTCTCCCACACAACGGGTGTTTGGATCTAACTTCCGCATTTATTGCTCGGACTGTATCGCAAGATCTCGAAAATCCCGCGCATGCTTGTTTGCCCCCCCTCAGGTCTCCGCACCGGAGCGGAGCCGTTGTAGAGCGCGTACCAGTAAAAATTGAGTTCGGAAGCGAGCGGCTGCGGAAGGCGGGGGCGGACCGGAGCGGAGGTAGTGGAATTTGGGGGTTAAGCTCCTTTACAGTCAGATGGGAAATCTGACTTGCCTTTTAGAGACTCTCCAAGCAGTTCAGATAAAAAGTTACAGCTGTTTCCGTGAGTTAATCCAACCATGAGCTGCCTTGGCGCAAATATGTTCACCTCAAAAATGTACAAAAGAGAAACGATGGCAGCGATTCGCAGGGTCAAGGGATGTTTGATTTTCATGTTTTAGATTTAGCCTTATCCTCCAGTAAGGAAATTAGAAACGGTGACGGGTTGTTTGTTATCGTGTCTCGTCCCAAATGCACGGGCCAGTACCTGTACCCAGCCTGGCAAGAGGGTTGGTCTGTAACAGAGCGGAGATGAGAGCCTGGGCGTCTGCAGGTAAAGCTTCATCCCCGTCCGGCCAAACGATATCATCTACCATAAGGAAGTCGAAAGAAAGACGTGGAAACTTGTTAGTAACCGAATTCACTGGTTCATTTGAAAAAAACATGATATGAATTCATTGTTCACCTGTGATGACCTGTCCAAACAGCTCCTCTGGAGTGTCACCAAAGAACGGCACACAGCCCACCAGGAACTCGTAGAGGATGATGCCCATCGCCCACCAGTCCACGGGTTTCCCGTAGCCCTGACGGAGGATCACCTCTGGAGCGATGTACTCAGGAGTCCCACAAACCTGGAGGGAGTGTTGGAGAGGGTGAAGGGAGAAGGGGAGAGTGGATGAAGGATGAAGCAAACACTTTTAATAATACAAGCTGCTGTTGTGTCATGAAAACAAACTCATTCCTTCAGGCTTCATACTGCTTTGATTTGTCTGCAAACACAAACTCATCATCACACTGAAGCTCTGATTCACTCCTTAGTCCAATAAGGACTGCGGTCTCTAGCGTGAATGAATGCTTTGTGAGTTGTTTTCTGAGGGGAATAAAGTCTGGGGCTCCCGTTTCAGGAAGTGAGGTCTTTCTGATGAGTGGGGAGGTGAAACACAGCGGGATTTGAGCCTTGCTCATTAATTTTCAGGATGTGTTCCCTCTGATTGGCTAACAGCAACACAACTCTTCCACTACTTACAATTGCTCTTCTTTCTTGGGTGAAAAATACAATGTTGATGTTTTCTCTACAAATAAAACAAGCCTGAACGTGTTTTACCATGTCGTGGAGTTGCTAATGCTAACTGTTAGCTCCAACTAGCGCTCTGCTCTCTCTTTTCCCTGGCCAAGCCAAGGTGGGCAGGACCATGAATGCTAATTTTCCCTGTGATGTAGAGCTGTGTGGCTTTTACAGACTCGATCGTTTTAACATCTACTTCCTGTCTGTGGCTAACGCCGGCGATGAGGTCAGCAGTATTTCAAAAAGAACAGGTATTACACGGTTTCTCAGTGACCTTTAAAACCTAACTAAAGCCTTGTGAACAAACATGATATTCCAACATGTTATTCAGATCAACCTCAGTATATAAAACACATCAAGTCCAATGATTAATAAGCATAAAAAGCCTTTTAAAATCAAATACAGCCTAATGAAAATGGTAATAAATGTACTATGCTCTTAGTAAAGATTTCCCTGTAATCGGGTGTAAAACTCTGCACTAGTGTTGGTGTGTAAATGGTCGTTTTTGTTGTTTCACACAGGAAACATCCTCACTGATGGTAAAACATGAAAAGCAGCTTCAGGATCTGAGCCAGCCACAGAGGCGAGAGGACTTCTGGCAGACAGACAGACAGACGCCTGCTTCCATGCAGAAAATGAAAAGCACTCGCGAGCCTGACTAATTCACAGCGTAAACAATAGCTATGATTGCTAAATGGGATTATGATGGAGATGGGGAGCATTAATGATTCAGCGACTCCAGCTAAACAGAAAGCTTTGTAAATGCAGCGCCTGAGTTTGAGGATTATTGATTTTGCTGGATGACTTGGCAGGACGGCATGCATGGCTGAAGGAGACAAACAGACGTTTGAAATGTCGGTCGGATCAGCAGCCGCTGCACGTCTTTTCGTTTGCTAACTCTGCATATAAAGCACATCTTCCTACAGCTGCTAATTCACTCAAATGGGCCACAGCCGTTGCCTTATAGGAACACAAACGAATGCAAAAGAACCTCAGAACATCAAAGGACTTGCACTCAAAAACAAGGTTTTTTCACACAGTAGGAGTTATTAGCAGGAGAAAATAATAAACCAGATGATGGCAACACTTACTGCACATTCACTCACATATAAGCATTGCTGCCGTTTTCAAGGCGAATTAAAGGGAAACTATGAAGTCTTTTTCATTTTTGTCCCTTTTCTCATTTTACAGTTTCCAAATGATTTTGCAATGAATGTTAAACATTTTCTGTTAATTAAGGCCCTGTCCACACGTAGCCGGGGATCTGCCAAAACGTAGACATTTTTCTACGTTTTGGCCTGTCATCCACACGAAAACGGATCTTTTTAAAAACTCCGGCCAAAGTGAAGATCTGCGTTTTCTCCGTTTTGGGTGTCTGCGTGTGGACAGACAAAACCGGAGTTTTAAGGTCCGCAACGTCACTTTCCGCGACCAAAAAAATGCTGACATCACGTGTGCGACCTGTGTTTACACTAGCCGACAGCATGGATGCCCTCAGAGCTGCGCTCGCTTTATCAATTGTCCAAGCGCTTTCTGCTTGTTTGTTTTTGCAAGCGGAATTACTGCTCCTTGCGGAAGACCACAGACGAAGGACGAGGTTAAGAACAGGGGAAGTACTGCCGCCTACAGGTCTGGCATGCCCTTAACAACGTATTTATCCGGGTACGTGTGGACAGAGTTTTTTTTTGAAACGAGGTGGTGTGGATGCAAGTTTTTGGAGGGGCGGATATTCGTTTTCAAAAAACCCGGCTACGTGTGGACTAGGCCTAAGTATGCTGTTGACACGGCCCTGGTTGGATTGATGAAAACACAATACTCTGTGGGTGAAGCCCTGTGTCACACCCTGTCCTGTCTCCCCATTTGGTTCAGCCTGCGTCTCTGTTAATTGCTCCCACCTGCCTCTCGTTTTCCAATCACCCAAGCTCCCAGCCCTCTTGTATTTAAACCCCTTCAGTTCTGTGTCTCTTTGTGGATCATTGTTTCATTGTCCAGCGTGTGATCATTAAATACTTTTACTCCTGCTGGTTTGTCTGCCTGCCTGCTTCCCTCACCCGCATGTGGATCCTTGCATCTGCTTCACTCACCGCCACGCGCTGACACCCTGTTTTTATCTCAGATCAAGACCCTAGAGTCGGGGTGTGGTCGGAGCAAGCAAGATATAATGTAGTCAAGAAAAAGGAGGTCATTTTATCTGTTAAACAAGATTTTATCGTGGGACCAGTTTTACTTTCTAACCAACCCGTTGAAAGGCTCACTCTTAAGCCTGGTTTATGCTTCTCCGTCAGCTCCGCAAGGGACAGACAAGCACGGATTGACGGAAGCGTTTTGCTCTCATACTTCTCCGTCTCCTGGAGAGTGTTGCAAAGCAATTGCCCGGCAGGACCACAGAGGGCGTAGCGCTGTTCTGTGGTATCCTGTCATGTATCGGTCCAAGATCGTGTGTTTATATTGTGTTTTTTTTGTATATAAGAGACTTTTTAACACGGACATATTTGTCTCTCATTCTCCCACCGCTTCATGCGCTCCCCACCTCTAAACCCACGTTTCCTGTCCTTTCCGTCCACAAATAAAACGCTTGCTGCGCATCTTTTTTCACTCCTCCAGTCACGGGAGAATGAAACGTTCATATTTTTAGAGTTTTTTCGCGAGGTATTCTTCAAGCTTCTCCGTGTCTGCCGCTAGTTATCCTCGGCTCTCTTTGCAATGGCGGTGCTGTAAACAACAGCGGCGTCCTGACCAATCACAAGCTTCCGTAATCAGTCTCATTCGACGGATGTTTAAAAAAGTGGGCTAGACTCCGTACGTACTTGCGTGCCTGCCGGAGCCCTATGCAAGGACGGATAATGGCGTTGCGTGTCTCCGCACTGACGCAGACGGAGAAGCATAAATCAGGCTTTAGGCTGTCGGATCGGTTTTGTTGAAAACACCGATTACATATTTAAGAAATGCTCAGACAGACTTTATCTTTTGAGAAACCTCAGAAGCCTAGCAGCAAACCCTAGAGCTTGTTCATAAAGTAACTGTTGATAGCGCTCTGACTCGACATCTACCGGCCTGGTTTGGTCATGTAAACTGCAGATGAGGTCAAACTTTTACTAATTGTTTCATGGGCAGACAAAATAGTTGGCCACAACAAACGATCTCCCAACTGGCTGCTGAAAGAATGAGGAAGACTGTAGCAGACAGCAGTCATCCACTGTTGTGTCAGCTTGAGCCCTCGAGCTCTGTAAGGTGTTACAGGCTGCCTCTGGTAACCAAATATATGTAAGAAATCATGTGTTCCTAGTGCTGTAATTAATGGTCCTTAACCAATGTAAACAATAGGATCCAACCATAGTACTTGTCATATGAACAGTGGCGCGTCACTTCCTTCTCCGTTTATCTGCGGGCAGCAGAGGACGTTGTCGCCCTCTACTGCCCGCTCTCCCCTCTCCGACGATGCAGTCCCATGCGCGGTCCAACGTGTAAACTCCGTCGTCCCTGTTCATGGTCCCACATCCACGTCTCCTTATCTCGATTGCTTCCTTGATCCATCTTTTGTATTTTTGTTGTTCAATGTTTATGATCCTTGTGTTGTCCCAGTCCATTACATGGTTTTCTCTTGTGCAGTGATCTGTTACGGCTGACTTCTTTATTGTACTTTCTGCTTCTTCTTTTGCTACTCTTGTGTGTTTTCGATTTGCCTCTTTCTCGCACTACTTTCTATGTTCTATTGTTCGTGTGTTGAGTTGGCGTCCGGTTTCTCCTACGTATGTTTTATTGCAGAGTTTGCATGGGATTTCGTAAATGACTCCACATTTAAGTCCAGCTGATATTTTGTCTTTTGGGTGAGGGGAGAGCGGGCAGTAGAGGGCGACAACGTCCTCTGCTGCCCGCGGATAAACGGAGAAGGAAGTGAGGCGCCACCATCAGCGTCAACCTGAGGAAGCCTGCAGACGCCGGCGAAACGTAGCGACAAAACAGGTAACGAAACCGTTTCTGTGTTTTAAAAAAAGAACGACAGCATGGAATTAGAACTAATACACGGCAAGAACACGCCTAAGATATGAACAGTGTTGGGCAGCTTACGTTAAAAAAGTCATTAGTTATAGTTACAAATTACTTTATCAAAAAAGTAACAGAATTGGTAACTCAGTTACCACATTGTAAAAATAATGAATAACCTAGCAAAGTAACTGTGACATAACTTTTATGTTCTATAACGCAGTGACGTTCTATAATATCTATAAAGTGACAGATTTTAGTAACTGAATGATTCTCACTAGAATAAACGTTTGAGATACACGACGTTCATTCAGTAAGAATGTTTTTTTTAATTGTTCCTTGGATTTCCTTACTTTTCTTTGAGTTGATAGAAAAAAGAAAGTAGAAATTGTTTGTGTGTGATTGTTTTAAATGAGGTAAATAACTCACTCCGCTTCGAGCTTTTTAAGGCAGTTTTAAAGTTTTATGCTTGCAACTGCCCCCGCAGGCCAAACATGTAACTGCAGCTTCAATAGTAAGCTCGTGCATGAGGCGCGCATGCTGTACATGCACACTCCTGAACGAAAAGAGCAGCTGAGTCAGTCCCAGTGCAATTTACAGACTGTTCTACACAATTCTAATAAATTAGGCAAACCATGTACGCTGATGTAGACACGCTAGACAAGCAGCCTAAAAAAATGTTCCTATGATTCGGAAAGCCCCCGGCTTGCTTTCAAAGCATCAACCCTTTCCCCCTATTACTATTTTATTAGTTAAAATGATTAATAATCATGATTAAAATGGCCCACATTGCTTTGATGTGTAAAATAAACTGAAAGTATACATAAAGTGATATTAGGGCAGATTTGGTGTGGCGATCCAAACCGTTCAGTTTTAGGACATAGCTCAGACCTCCTGCTCTCCTCATTCTCACAGACCCCTTCTCCACTCCTCCATCTAGGTCATGATAACGGTGCAACTGGGAGCGAGTGTCTCATGATTCAACCAAATTCTGCTAATCAGTTCAGATATCTTTTATATTTTAGGGGAGTGTATGCAAATGTGGCTCTGCATGTCCCTTTGTCACTAAAGTAATCTAAAGTTTTATACTTCTGGTACTAGAATGTTTTCTTACGGACCACTTGATGTCTCAACACATCTGATTAAAATAAAGTTAACAATAGTAGTTTGAAAAGAAACAACACCCAAAACAGAGTAAACTAAAGCACCTGCTTGTCCAGGAACTCTCTGGCATCTTTCTCTATGTGTCCTTCATACAGGTTGGTGGTGAGGCTCATCAGACCCATCTTTGACAAACCAAAGTCTGTCAGCTTGATGTGTCCCATGGAGGTGATCAGGAGACTACAGGTGAGAGAAAACAGGAATTCAATATTGTGTTTTAATTTATAACATCAGTATAATACTTTAAAAAAGACTTAAAATACCAATTGTCACATCTAAAACAGCTATAACACCTCAAACTAAGACAGTTAAAATGTCCCATAAGGAACATCAGAAGTGAGTTTAACAACAGAACACCACCGGTGTGAGAAGATCTCTGCTCAGTATCAAAGAGAGAGAGAGAGACAGCCGGCTGCTACCATTTCAACCTTAGGACAAACAGAGTCCCAAAAAGAAAAACGCTCTTTGAAGTGATGGACAACAAAAGACAATTGGATATACACTCAACAAAAATATAAATGCAACACCTTTGTTTTTGCTCCCATTTTTCATGAGATGGACTTAAAGATCTCAAATTTATTCCAGATACACAATATCACGATTTCTCTCAAACATTGTTCACAAACCAGACTAAATGTGTGATAGTGAGCACCTATGCTTTGCTGAGGTAATCCATCCCACCTCACAGGTGTGCCACATCAAGATGCTGATCTGACATCATGAGTAGTGCACAGGTGTACCTTATACTGCCCACAATAAAAGGCCACCCTGGAATGTGCAGTTTTTTGCTTTATTGGGGGTCTGGGGACTCAGAACCGGTCAGTATCTGGTGTGACCACTATTTGCCTCATGCAGTGCAACACATCTTCTTCGCAAAGAGTTTATCAGATTGTCAATTGTGGCCTGTGGAATGTTGGTCCATTCCTCTTCAATGGCTGTGCGAAGTTGTTGGATATTAGTGGGACCTGGTACACGGTGTCGTATACGCCAGTCAAGCACACCCCAAACATGCTCAACGGGTGACATGTCTGGTCAGTATGCTGACCATGCAAGAACTGGGACATTTTCAGCTTCCAAGAATTGTGGACAGATCCTTGCAACATGGGGCCGTGCATTATCTTGCTGAAACATGAGGTGATGTTCATGGATGTACGGCACAACAATGGGCCTCAGGATCTCATCACGGTATCTCTGTGCATTCAAAATGCCATCAATAAAATGCACCTGTGATCTTTGTCCATAACAGATGCCTGTCCATACCATAACCCCACCACCACCATAGGCCACTCAATCCACAACAGTGACATCAGCAAAGCGCTCACCCACACGATGCCACACATGCTGTCTGCCACCTGCCCTGAACAATGTAAACCGAGATTCACCCGTGAAGAGAACACCTCTCCAATGTGGCAGCCATCAAATGTGAGCATTTGCCCACTCAAGTCTGTTACGGCGACGAGCTGGAGTCAGGTCAAGACCCCGATGAGGACGACGAGCATGCAGTTGAGATTCCCTGAGACGGTTTCTGACAGTTTGTGCAGAAATTGTTTGGTTATGCAAACCAATTGTTTCAGCAGCTGTCTGAGTGGCTTGTCTCAGACGATCTTGAAGGTGAACCTGCTGGATGTGGAGGTCCTGGGCTGGTGTGGTTACATGTCGTCTGCGGTTGTGAGGCCGGTTGGATGTACTGCCATATTCTCTAAAATGCCTTTGGAGACGGCTTATGGTGGAGAAATGAACATTCAATGCACGAGCAACAAATCTGGTCGACATTCCTGCTGTCAGCATGCCAGTTGCACGCTACCTCAATGCTTGTGGCATCTGTGGCATTTTGCTGTGAGACAAAACTGCACATTCCAGGGTGGCCTTTTATTGTGGGCAGTATAAGGTACACCTGTGCACTACTCATGATGTCGGATCAGCATGTTGATGTGGCACACCTGTGAGGTGTGACGGATTATCTCAGCAAAGCACAGGTGCTCACTATCACACATTTAGACTGATTTGTGAACAATGTTTGAGAGAAATAGGAATATTGTGTATCTGGAATTAATTTTAGATCTTTAAGTCTTTCTCATGAAAAATCGGAGCAGAAACAAAGGTGTTGCATTCATTATTTGTTGAGTGTATAAAACACTAAACATTCGCAGCAGAAGAGTCTCAGGGAACATACCCTAGGGGAGCGGTGAGTGTTCAGTGTTTAAATTCTGTAAAATTTAGAAAAACGATCAATGAGTCTGTTTCATTGCAAACGTTTTGACTTGAGTGGGTACATCACATGTGTGTTAATGAGGGCTGCATTCCACTTAGGAGTAAGTCTGTTCACTAGCATGATTTTTACAGAACAACCACCAGTCACAGCTGCTGAGGTGGTAGAAAACAAGATGTCGGCTAGTTTACACCTAAAGGTGTAACTGAGAAATATTCACTGAGAAATCAGATTTTACTGATTTTTTTAGGTGACTGGTCACTCTTGAGTTTTTCATACAGGCTGAGCATGAAAACAGCCTCCTACACCATCTCCTGCATTAGCTTCTGATAGACGATAAACAGTGAAACTCTAGGACTGGACAGGAAGTCAGTTTACAGGTAGTTCTGTTGTGGTTGCACTTTTCAAAGGTCCTGCTGTTAAAGTAGATTTTAATAAATCATTATTTTGTAAAGGTTTTTACATGAAACAAAAGACAAAATGCTAGATTAACTTCAACTAAACAACCTCCTGTCTTGGGTTTTATTGATGACATGTTTTCCTTTCTGGTCAATAAAATATTATTTACAGTGATAAGTCTCAGAAATCTTTTGTGCCAACTTTTTCCTGTAAAGCCTACACGTCTTTCACATGCCAGCACTTCCCTAGAGTGAAAATGGTTATTACAGCACTCACTTGTCAGGTTTGAGGTCTCGGTGAACAATACCATAGTTGTGCAGGTACTCTAAGGCCAAAACAGTTTCAGCAAAATACATCCTCGCCAGTTCCACAGGCAGAGCCCCAATGTTCTTCAACAAAGTGGCACAATCACCCCCTGGGAAAAACAAAGACCGCAGTACTGGTTTAGGGTATAATTTACATATAGGTAGGCATTTTTACAGGTAGGTAGGTAGGAAGGTAGGTAGGAAGGAAGGCAGGTAGGTAGGTAGGTAGGAAGGTAGGTAGGTAAGTAGGAAGATAGGTAGGTAGGAAGGTAGGTGGGTAGGAAGGTAGGTAGGAAGGAAGGTAGGTAGGTAGGTAGGAAAGTAGGTAGGAAGGTAGGTAGGTAGAAAGGTAGGTAAGTAGGAAGATAGGTAGGTAGGAAGGTAGGTAAGTAGGAAGATAGGTGGGTAGGTAGGTAGGTAGGT